GTCTCCTGCCTCAGCCTCTCAAGTAGCTGAGACCACAGGCACTCGCCACAACGCCCGGCTATTTTTTTGGTTGCAGCTGTCATTGTTATTTGGCAGGCCCAGCTGGATTCGAACCCACCATCTTAGGTGTATATAGCTGGCGCCCTAGCCACTTGAGCCACAGGCACAAGCTGTTGCTCAGGTTCTTAGTTTCCTCATTAGAAAGGAAGACCAACAACCCTGGCCCCATCTTCCTCTGGTGACATGGAGGACATGGCCTCTGGGAGACCCTGCAGGGCTCAAGAGTGTTGAGTGGGCACTCTGCAGAAGCAGCTCAGCACAGCCAGGTCCCAGCCTCACCTGGGTTTCCCGGCGGCACCCTGTATGTCCGCTTTTCCCGCCTCAGCCAGCAGCTGCTCTTCATTCAGTCCTAGTGCTGATAGCACTTGAGAGAAGCGCCGAGCCACAGTCAGCCGGGCATTGGCCTAAAGAGAGAAAAGAGGGGTTCTTGCTCTGTATCAGGGCTGCTGAGGGCTTGGGTAGGCTTTGGCCACTGAGGGGATCTCAGGGCTGTGCTCAGTGTGGCTTTATGTTTGTCCAGGTGCTACCCTCACCTGCATTGCCTGCTGGAACAGGAAGGGCCGGGCCTGCACCCTGTGCTGGATGCCCTGCAACTCTGCCTGGTACTCAGCAAAGCGCTGTCGCTCCTGGCGCCTGCGGGGAGACAGAGCTCTGGGCAACCAACCATGGACACATGACCACTCCTGAGCACACAAGTCCTCACTAAGGATTTTCTGTTTATGTCCTCCTTGCCTTTACCATTACAAAGCTATTTCGTTCCCAGTCTGGCCCTGGAGACTTTGTGAGGTCAGCCAGAGCGGGAATTATTCACCCCATTTTACTAATAACTCAGGAAAGTCAAGCCAGGGGATTTGTGCAAAGTTGTGCAGCTGGAAAGTGAGGAACTGAGCTCTGAGCCCAAGTCACGAAGCTGTAAGCCAGGGCTTGCCCTTCCTCCCAGGGGAGAAGGCCCAACACTGACTTTTGAGCTCCTGGACCCGCCACCTGCTTGCAGGCCCTCCCTCTCTCACACTGCACCCTGAGAAGGACACTGTGACCGTGAACTATGTGACTCCCTCTGGGCTCTGGCCTTAGTTTTCTTCTTTGTGCTATAGCAAGTATCAGACAAGCTTGCCAATGTTCTCTGTAGTTCCTGTAAGCCAGAAATTGGGACAGGGAAATTTTTAAAAAATGTGTTACAAATAAAAGAACACATCCAGAAGGATCAACTTTCTAGCACAATTCCACTTACAAAAACCCAGTTTATGCACTTGTCAGAAACGTCTGTTCAACAAGCTAGGTGTCACTGTCTTTTGTGAAAGCATTCTGACAGCAAGAAGGGCCTTGCCAAAAGTTGTACAACCCACAAGAGAGATCTTCAGGCCACAACACATGGGACCAGGCATCTTTTTGTGAAGCACATAAGAGAGGCCTCGGGGTGTGGAGTCAGCATCTAGGGACAGAGAAGCAGCAGACAAATACGCTGGGCTCCCAGGAAAAATACTGCCTTTTAATATTCTAAATGGAATATTAAAATATATGAGTGATTTCCAAACTTTCTAAATTTTAGAATCTAAAGTCAAAGTGGCCCATGACCATGTGCCAGGTTAAGAACTATCCTCCATTGAGAAAAAGATAATGGACTTGAAAACCTATGGCCAGGAACACAAATTACTGCCAATAGGGGTCTTCACTGTTCAGGAGGGAATTTACAGTAGTTACAGGGGCAGGGGAAGTGGTGGGCATAAGTTGGCATTCAGTCTCTCTTTTCCATGATGTCTACATTATCCTGCTGGTGACTTTATGCTATTTCTGTTAGAAATGAGGGGAAGCAGGAAGCCAAAGCAGGAGGATTGGTTGAATCTGGGAGTTTAAGGTTGCAGTGAGCTATCATGATGCCACTATGTTCTAACTTGGGTGGGAGAATGAGACCCTATCTTTAAAAAAAAAAAAAAAAATGAAAGGAAGCCCTATCTTGGAGCCCTGAGCAGAAGCAGTGCTAGTGGGTGTCAGTCTAGTCCATCATCTCAGAGTGAAAGGAAGACACATCCCCTCCCTGACACTGGACCACCTCTTTTGTGTCCACCCTTCCCCTTCCTAGGCAGGGTGGAATTTCCTGTTCAACTCAGACAGCAAAATCCATGGGCTGTGAGGACTGACAGACCACATGGGAGATAACTGCTTTGCCTTAATCATGTCAAGTAGAAAATAAAAGGAGTGAGCATGAAATACTTCTCTTGTGCACCTGCTGCTTGGAGCAGCAACCTTACACTTCCTGCCTTACTAGAAAAACAAACAATTAGCTTGAGACCTGGCAAGAAGGAGGCATCTCCCCGGTCATTGGCCAAGGATTCCCCTAAAACACACTTGACCTATCAGAGCCTCTATTTGCTCATCTGTAAAGTTGTTTTTTGTTTGTTTGTTTGTTTGTTTTTGAGACAGAGCCTCAAGCTGTTGCTCTGGGTAGAGCGCTGTGGCATCACAGCTCACAGCAACCTCCAACTTCTGGGCTCAAGCGATTCTCTTGCCTCAGCCTCCTAAGTAGCTGGGAGTACAGGCACCCACCACAACACCTGGCTATTTTTTGTTGCAGCCATCCTTGTTGTTTGGCGGGCCCAGGCTGGATTCGAACATGCCAGCTCAGGTGTTTCTGGCTGGCATCTTAGCCGCTTGAGCCACAGGCACCGAGCCTAAAGTTGGTGTTTTAAGGAAACTTCCTAAGTCCTCAGTGGTCCTGCTGCAGGACAGAAACCCTTTTCTCTCTCCACAGCACACCCGACTGCCATGGACCAAAGGAAACAAGGTGTGAAAAGCACTGTCCCAAACCAGCTGTCCCCAGTAGATGCTCAAATCAGTGGCATTCGTGATCATGTTTATTTGTGTTTCTTATTTCCTTAGGCTGTGCTCTTGGGGGAAGGTCATGCTTCCCTTTATTTAAAGGCTGGGCATTTGAGCACCCAGAGGCAGGGGAGCCGGGTGGCTGGAACCCCAGCTCTGCCACTCACCTGTGACCTTTTGCAAATTATTTAATCTCTTTAATCCTCAGTTTCTCTGTAGAATTATGGAAGCAGTGATACTACCTACTTCATCATCCTGTTAGGAGTCTATAAAAAGACTTTCCTGGACTCTGCGCCTGTGGCTCAAGCAGCAAAGCCACCACAGCCAGCCACATACATCTGAGCTGGCAGGTTTGAATCCAGCCCGGGCCCCCCAAATGACAATGACAGCTGCAACTGAAAAATAGCTGGGCATTGTGGCGGGTGCCTGTCATCCCAGCTACTTGGGAGGTGGAGGCAAGAGACTCGCTTGAACCCAGGAGTTGAAGGTTGCTGTGAGCTGAATGCCACAGCACTCTACCCAGGGCGACAGCTTGACGGTCTGTCTCAAAAAAAAAATGATTTGCCTGACCCACAAATTTGCTTTCTAGGAAAATGGTCAAACTACAAGAAGAGAATAAAACAGATGACTCTTCACTTGACCATGAACAAAAGGTGTCTCTAGGAGTGGGATCATAGATCTGTTCACAGTCTATATTCACTATTTTAGTAATATTTGAAATTTTATAACAACCATTAGAAATCAGAAAGATGGGATTTGAAAGTACAATGATGCGTGTAGAGCATTTTAACTTGGGCATTCAACAACTGTAGGGATTGTTATTATTAACAGGTGACCTTGGACCAACCCCTCCTCCTCCCTATGCCTAAGTGTCCTCATTTGTAAAATGTGCCAAAGCGGCCTGGCCAGTCTCAGATAAGGGAGGAGCTGGGTCTGCTTGGTTTGGCTGTCTGAGACTGAACCCCGCCCCCTTGCCCTCTCCCTACCAGCTCCCTCATGGCCTGGGCTCCTTACCTCAGCTCTTCCAGTTTGCGCTGGGTGGCCCCAGGTCCCCGGCTCCCTTTGGGCGCATAGGCTGCCAGGCAGCGGGCCACCTGCTGCTGTACCCGCTGCTCCCGGGCACGCCGACGCTCAGCCTGCTGCTGCTCCTCCTGCTGCTGCCGCTCCCAAGACTGCAGTAGGCTTCTTGGGTGGAAGAGAGGGAGGTGGGAAGGATGGGACAAATCTTCAAGGGGACAGGAGCCTCCAGGAGGGCCAGAGGCTGGGTAGGGGAATGTGAGAGCCTGGAGGGAGGGTCTGCAAGGTCCAGAGAGCCACAGCCTTAGGAATGGGGTTTGTTGTGGGAGTTTAACGTGACAACATGATAGAGGCTGTCCGTGGGACTTGGCCAATGGGTCCATTTCAAGGCCTCCCCCTACTCTTTCTGGCAGCTTCCTGCCCATCCCAGCCAGCAGTGAGTTCCAACTCTCCACGTCCTCAGCCCAGGCTTCCTGAGCCCCTGTGGAGGTCAGCTCACATAGCCTGCAACCAACCCCGTTTGCATTGCCAACCTCTCCTGGCAAAGAGTTCCCCTTGAGGGCAGGGTCCAGGTCTCATTGTTCTCCCTGACGCCCTTATGTAGGAGGAGCTAGGTTAATGCCTATGGGTTTGAGGCCAAGTTGAGTGGATGGATGGGATAGAGAAACAGAATAAAGTGGGATCAACAGGCAGAACAGAAGGATGAAAGGTATGGATACTCAGATGGCAGCTAGACCCACCTGTCACATTCCATGTTCCAAATCATGACTAGTTCCTTCTTGTCCATCAGGTCTTTGCTCAGATGTCAATACTAGCCTTTCCCTGACTATATCTTTCCCCCAGATTCTCTCTTCTCTAGCTATACATCCCATTCACCTTTATTAATTATCCTTCTTCACCAGTAGAACGTAAGCCTCATGAGACTGTTCACCACCAATAAATCACCAGCACCTAGAACAGTGCCTAAAATATCCCCAAACTCACTATTTCATGAATTTATGCACAATTAAATTATGGTCAGATGGAAAGATGGCTAGACAGACAAATAAAGGGGTAGGTTCACCCACTGACTCAGTGCATGTTAGTTAACTAAGCACCAACTATGTGGTTGGTTCTGAACCAGGCACTGTGATCACTTAGATCCAGCACCTGCTCCCAGGAGTCCCACAGGCTACAGCCAGACAGTCCCACATCCCAGTGCAAGATGGTATTGAGTGCTGGCCCAGAGGCAAGCACAGAGAAGAGCTTCTTGGAGGGATGCCTGACTTTGGTGTTGAAAGATGCATCTAGGTTAGCTGGGTGAACAAGGAGGAGGTGATTCCTGACAGCAGGAAGGAAGGACATGGGGCAGTCTAGCCACCCTGACCAGTTGGTGTTGGGAACAGGAGTCTTGTTACAAAGGAGTCTGGACTTCTCCCCACAGACACTGGGAAGCACAAAAGGATTTCAAGCTGCAGATAGCAAGGTAAGAATTCAAGGGTGCTTTGGAAGAATTAATATTATAAAAATGTCCACATTGCCCAAAGCAATCTACAAATTAATGCAATCCCTATCAAAATTCTAAAAACAAACTTCACAAAAATAGAGAAAACAACTGTCAATTCTTACCAAACCACAAAAGACACCAAATAGCCAAAGCCATCTTGAGGGAAATAATCCACATATTTATTTATCACATTCATTTATTTATTTCTAAGATCTCTCAACAGATCAATTTATTTATTTATTTTTTGAGACAGTCTCACTTGCTCACCCTTGGTAGAGTACTATGGCATCTTAGCTCACAGCTACCTCAAACTCTTGGGTTCAAGCAATTCTCTTGCCTCAGCCTCGCAGGTAGCTGGGACTACAGACACCCACCACAGCACCTGGCTACTTTTTACAGGCGGGGTATTGCTCTTGCTCAGGTTGGTCTCAAACTCATGGGCTCAGGCAGTCCACTCGCCTCAGCATCCCAAGTGCTGGGATTACAGGTGTGAGCCACCGTACCTGGCTACTATTGTTTGTTTGTTTTAAAGACAGGGGCTGACTGGACTGCAGTGACTATTCACAGGCATGATCATAGCACACTACAGTCTCGAGTTCCTGGGCTCAAGCAATCCTCCAAATTCAGCCTCCCAAGTAGCTGAGACCACAGCTATGCACCACCTCACCCAGCTATGGCTGGTTGATTTTTAACAAAGATACCAAGAATGCCCAATGGGGAAAGGATGGTCTCCTCAATAAACAGCATTGGGAAAGCTGGATGCCCACATGCAGAAGAATGAAATTAGATCTTCATCTCATGCCCTATACAAAAATTAACTCGAAATGGATTAAAAACTTAAACTTAAGACCTGAAACTAAAACTCCTGGAAGAAAACATGGAGGCCAGGTACAGTGGCTTATGCCAATAATCCTAGCACTCTGGGAGGCCCAGGCAGGTGGATCACCTGAGATCAGGAGTTTGAGACCAGCCTAAGCAAGAGCGAGACAGCCATCTCTACTAAAAAAAATAGAAAAACTAGCCAGGTGTTGTGGCAGGCATCTTAGCTACTCGGGAGGCTGAGGCAAGAGGATCTCTTGAGTCCAGAGTTTGAAGTTGCTGTGACACCATGGCACTCTACCCAGGCAACAAAGTGAGACTCTGTCTCAAAAAAGAAAACATAGGGGAAAAGTTCCATGACATGGGTGTGGGCAATGATTTTTTTAGATATGACCCCAAAAGCACAGAGAACAAAAGCAAAAATGCTAGTAGACAAATGATATTCCATCAAACTAAAAAGCTTCTGCATACCAAAGGCACCGATCAAAAAAGTTGTAGAGACAATCCACAGAATGGAGAAAATATTTGCAAACCATACATCTAATAAGGGGTTAATATCCAAAACATTTAAGGAACTTAAAGATCTCAATAGCAAGAAAATAACCCAATTTAAAAATGGGCAAAAAAGCCAGGCACAGTCACCTGTACTGCCAGGTACTTGGAGGACTGAGGCAGGAGGATCCTGTCTCTACAAAAATATTGTCATAATAATCTGGGTATGGTGGCATGCGCATGTAGTCCCAGCTACTCAGAGGGCTGAGGCAGGAGGATCAATTGAGGCCAGAAGTAAGACCCTGCCTCTCGAAACATAAAGCAAGACTCAATGGAATGGACATTTCCAAAAGAAGACATACAAATGGCCAAAAAAAGTTCAACATTCCTAATTACCAGGGAAATGCAGATTAAAAATCACAATGAGATATCACCTCTCATCTTTCAGGTAAGTGTTGGTGAGGACATGAAGAAAAGGGAACCCCTATGCACTGATGGTGGGAATGTAAATTAGTACAGCCACTAAGAAAAGCAGTATGGAGTTTCCTTATCAAACTAAAAGTAGAGGTACCATGTGATCCAGCAATTCCACTTCTGGGCATATAGCCAATGGAAATGAAATCAGTATGTTGCAGAGATATCTGCCTTCCCACATTCACTGCAGCAGTATTCACACTAGCCAAGATATGGGACCAACCTAAAATTCTATCAACAGATGAATGGATAGTTGAGAAAATTTATAGACACACAAAGAAATACTATTCTGCCTTAAAAAATAAGGAAATCCTGTCATCTGAGACAACATAGATAAACCTGGAGGACATTACGTTAGTGACATAAGGCATAGAAAGTCAAATACCACATGATCTCACTCATATGTAGAATCTAAAAAAGTCAAACTCATAGACGCAGATAATAGAATGGTGCTTCACAGGGTCCGGGTGGGTTTGGAGAAGGAGTGGGGAGATGTTGGTCAAGGATACAAAATTTTGGTTAGACAGGAGGAGTAAGTTCAAGAGATCTATTGTACAATATGATATGTATAGTAAATAACAATATATTATAAGGGCTTGGTGCCTGTAGCTCAAGCAGCTAGGGCGCCACCCACGTACACCAGAGCTGGTGGGTTTGAGTTTAGCCCGGGTCTGCCAAACAACAATGACAACTACAACAAAAAAAAATAGCCAGGAGCCAGGCAGCACCTGTGGTTCAGTGGGTAGGGCGCCAGCTTCATATACCACGGGTGATGGGTTCAAACCCGGCCCCAGCCAAACTGCAACAAAAAGCGGGGGGGGGGGGCAGTGCCTGTGGCGCAAAGGAATAAGGCGCTGATCCCATATGGTGGAGGTGACGGATTCAAACCCAGTCCTGGCCCGCCCACCAAAAAAGCCCCAGAGGGACCTTTCATAAGGAAAAAAAAAAAAAAAGCAGGGAGTTGTGGCAGGAGCCTGTAGTCCCAGCTACTTGGGAGGCTGAGGCAAGAAAATCGCTTAAGCCCAAGAGTTTGAGGTTGCTGTGAGCTATGACACCATGGTACTCTACTGAGGGCAACATAATGAAACTCAGTCTCAAAACAAAACAAAACAATATGTTATATGCTTGAAAATTGCTAAAACAGTAGATTTTAAGTGTTCTCACCACAAAATAAATTTGTGAGGCAATGCATATGCTAATTAGCTTGGTTTAGACATTCCACAATGTATACATATTTTAAAACATCATGTTGAGCCAGGCACAGTGCCTCACACATGTAATCCTAGCACTCTGGGAGGCCAAGGTGGGAGGATCCCTTGAGCTCAGGAGTTTGAGTCCAGGCTGAGCAATAGCATGTGTACTAAAAACAGAAAAATTAACTAGGCACTGTGGCAAGTGCCTGTAGTTCTAGCCACTTAGGAGGCTGAGGTAGGAAGATCACTTGAACCCAGAAGTTAAAGTGAGGTTGCTGTGAGCTAGGCTGATATCATGGCACTCTAGCCTGGGCAACATACTGAGACTCTGTCTCAGAAAAAATAAAATCATGTTGTATACTATAAATGTATATAATTTCTATTTATGTAAATATAATTTATATAAATTAAATATAAAATTTATTATATTTATAATTGAGGGGTGCTATAAGAATGCTGAATGAATCCTCTGCCTCCCTGTCATAGCACTTCTAACCAGTCACTAAGGCCCATTGAGCCACCTCTAAATGTCTCTTAACCACCCATAGGGCCCTCTCTCCACCCATAGGGCCACCTGGATCAGGCCCTTATCATCCTTCATCTAAACCTTGTCAACAACTTCCTCATAGCCTCCTGCCTTCTGAGTCTGCTCCCACTGTCTCTTGTTCAAGCCCAAGCCAAGTATAGCAATTATCTAACTGAATTGACATAATTGCCATCTGTCTCTTCTTCCAGACATTGAGGTTGGCGTGGCTGGCGCCAAGTCTTTTGATCTTTATATCCTGAGGGCCCATGAGTAGTTGCATTAGTCACTTGTTAATAGATTAATGGATGGATGGAAAAAATGAATGAAAAGTAGCTTGTGTCAATAAGCAGTTGGCCAACTAGACAGACAGAGAATGAATGGTTGAATAGATATTGTCAGTATCTGGATGAATTGATGGATAGATTAATAGATAATTGGGCAATCAGATAGATTAGTGAATGATAAAGAGATGAGAATATGAATTACTAAGTCTCTTAGAGAACTGTCTTCTTCCCTACTCTCTTAGTTCCCACCCCTTGCTCTTCCCTCTTACCTGGTGGCCTCATGTCGTTTGTGGAAGGTGCGATTAGGGAAGTTGGCAAACAGGAAAGTTTCATTTCCCAAGATCTGAGCCTTCCCACTCCGGCTGGAGGCCTGGAAAGCATCTCGCAAAGCCTTCCACGGTTGTTTTTGGGGGCCTGTCCACAGTGAAACCAAGTCAGGGACTCGGCCATCCTAACCAGTGCCCAGAATAGCCCAGCCCCATCAGAACCCCTGGCCCAGATCAGGGATTCCCCAACTGCTCTCCCCCACTATGCAGTTTCTGAGGGACCCAGGCACCAACCCGTGAGCTCACCACAGTCCAACTCTTGCTGTAGCTGTCTGTGCAGCTTCTCCAGGTCCCACGGGCCCTCCCGCTCCTTGGCACCCGGCTTCTTCCTCTGTGGCTCTCGAGGGTTGTTACAGCTGGAGCCACTCCCCAGGCTCTGGCCCTGCAGTTCCCCCTCATCCAAGGCCTCCTCTCCAGAATCCTGCCCCTTTTTCTGAGAACCGCTGCTCCTTCTGGGAGGGCCCCGATGCTCCCCCTCCTCAGTCTCCTCTGTGGCCTCTGAGAACCACTCCTCCTCCAAGATCAATCCCCTCCTGGGGAGCTGGGGCAGTTCCCCAGGGCTCAGACCCCTCTTGACCTCCTCAGCACCTGGCCCTTCTGGCTCAGCAGTCTCTTCACACTCCAATCTTGATCCTGACCTCTTCTCTGGTGTCCGGAGACCACACTCACTGGGTGGCTCTGGCCCCTGGCTCTCCTCTTTGCTAGGAAGGATGGGGCCATCCCAGGCCCCAAGCTGCTGTTTCCTCCCTTCCTCTGGGAGGTTGGCCGTGGACTTGGGCCTGGGCTTGCGCTGGGGAGCCACACGGGGCCAAGGCAGGGCTTGGTGGCCAGGGGTTGAAGGGGATCTCGGCTGAAGCAGAGCCTGGCCATCTGTGATGAAGCTCTCCCAGGCCCACTGGAAGGGGAAGGAGGGTTTCCGAGGAGGACAGGGAAAGAGACTGAAGAGAGAGAGGGTGAGGGTCACTGTCCATGCCAGCCCCCAGCAGGGCCTGACACCCACCCCCTTCCCAGCCCATCCCACAACTTCTTACTCCTCAGCTTCAGCAGAGCCCTGTCCTTTCTTGTTCCGAATCCTGTGCCTGCGGTCCTTTCTCGCCACCTGCCCCGTGCTCTGAGACCTCTGCTGTGGACCCTGAATTGGCACACCATCGCCACTTCCCAGGCTCTCCTGGGCAGAGACAGGAGAGGGGACCAGCTCTGAGCAAGAGTGGTCTTCTCTGATCACTTTGTACCTCCTCCAGGAGGCCTCTGTTCTGTGCATGGGCATGGTCCCCTCTGGGCCCTGGTTCCCATGAAGACGGTCTGGTCACTACCTCCATTCTGAGGTAGAGCACCTACCCTGTGCTCAGCACTTTCACACATTAACACACTTAGAACCCTATGGGGTAGATGCTTACTAACATCCCCACATGCAGAAGAGAAAACCAGAGCTCAGAGAGGCCACACAGCTGGTGAGTGGTGGACCTGCTACAGCCAAGGTGAAACGAATACATTTTCCTGAAACCCCACTCCTCCAGCAGTGCTCCCTAATTTCCTCCATCATCCCTGGAAGTCACCCCTACATAGCATCCCTCATCTTCATACTACATCCTTTAGGCCTCCCCTTGGTCCCTTCCTGCTCAGGCTTCCCTGACTCACACTTGGACCTCAGCTCCAGGCCGTGGCTGCTCAAGGGCCTCCCCCAGCCCTGGCATCACCGATCCCCATAACCCGCCTGCCTCTGGGCAGTTGAAAACCCCCAAGTGGGCCTCCCTCACCGGCTCCGCCTGGGGGATGTTCGACAGAAGCTTGAGCAGCCCTATGCCCGACCCCAGAGCCTGGAACCGAGTGTCCTGCCCTGGTCTCCGGGATGTGGTCCTAACCAACTGTTGGTGGGTGTTTAGCATATTGGTGTCCTGCCCCATCCCCCACTCCACCTGGTGTGGAACTGCCCACAGGCCATCTCTATGGCAACTGAGCCCCAAGCAGTCTCAAGGACTCCAGCAGAAAGCACACCAGGAAGGGGTCAGCCAGGGTGTGTGGGGTCAGCTTCCTTCCAGGAGGAGAGTTCAGCCAGAGGCTGAGGGATGGTTCAGGCCTGGGACTCCAGTGATTCATAGCCAAGTCCTGCCCCTGCCATAGACTCCCTGTGTGACCCGGCATGAGTCTCCTGTCCTCACTCAGCTTGTTTCCCCATCTATCTGTAAAAGGGACCTCAGGACTCAGCCATCCCAAAGCAGCCTCATGTCCTATGAAGATGTCCAGGCAGAGTCTGAGGCAGGCCCTCTCCCTCAGCCTGTCTCCTGGCTGCCCCCAGCCCTGGCTGAGGCTCTGCAGGAGCTGAATTGAACTCTCACAGGATTGTGTTTAAATCACTAACCCTACCAGCCCCGACAGGGTGGGCGAAACTAGGAAATCAAGCACTGTGCCCAGAAGAGAGGCAGCAGGCCATCCAGAACCCAGAGGAGATTCTGCAGGGAGTTACAACCTTTAAATCTTTTTTTTTTTTTTTTTTTGAGACAGAGTCTCACTATGTCGCCCTCAGTAGAGTGCTATGAGATCACAGCTCACAGCAACCTCAAACACTTGGGCTTAAGCAATTCTCTTGCCTCAGCCTCCAAGGAGCTGGGATTACAAATACCCGCCACAACACCTGGCTACTGTTGTTGTTGTAGTTGTCATTGTTGCTTAGGAGGCCCGGGCCGGGTTCAAACCCACCAGCCTCAGTATGTGGCCGGTGCCCTTACCCACTGAGCTACAGGTGCCGCTTGCCTTTAAATCTTATCCAAACTTCTAAGCAGTGCCAAAAGCCTTGGGGTGCTAAATCCCCATGGGACACCCAGTGCTGACCACTAGGACCGCAGCACAGGGATATAGTCCCAGGTAAGACCCTTAAGACCAACCAGCTACCTTGAGGCCTGGCTTGGCCTCTCATGTGCTCTGTGACCACTTCTCCACTCTGCACAACTAGAATTATAGTCCCAGCCCCTCGGTTTGTTCCAAGAAGAGAATGGCATTACAAAGGTGACACACTCAGTGAAGTTCATTATTGTTCTTTTGGGGCAGCAGGGCACAATGTGAAGCACAGAAGTGTGTGGGTTCAAATCCCAGTCCTTAGGCCAGGCACAGTGGCTCACACCTGTAATCCTAGCACTCTGGGAGACTAAGGCAGGAAAATCTCTTGAGCTCAGGAGTTTGAGACCAGCCTGAGCAAGAGTAAGACCCCATCTCTATTAAAAATAGAAAAACTGGCTCGGCGCCTGTGATTCAAGTGGCTAAGCCACCAGCCACATACACCTAAAGCGGCGGGTTCGAATCCAGCCTGGGCCTGCCAAAAAACAACAATGACAGCTGCAACCAAAAAATAGCCAGGCGTTGTAGTGGGTGCCTGTGGGACCAGCTACTTGGGAGGCTGAGGCAGGAGACTCACTTGAGCCCAGGAGCTGGAGGTTGCTGTGAGCTGTGATGCCACAGCACTCTACGCAGGGGGACAGCTTGAGGCTCTGTCTCAAAAAAAAAAAAAAAAAGAAAAGAAAAACTAAGCCAGGTACATGGCTCACACCTGTAATCCTAGCATTCTTGGAGGCCGAGGTGGGTGAACTGCTTGAGCTCACAAGTTTGAGACCAGTCCGAGGAAGAGCAAGACCCCTTCTCTACTAAAAATAGAAATACTAAGGCAGGAGGATAGCTTGAGCCCAAGAGTTAGAGGTTGCTGTGAGCTATGATGATGCCATGGCATTCTACCCAGGGTGACAGCTTGAGACTCTGTCTTGAATAAATAAATAAATAAATAATTTTTTAAAAAAATTTAATTTAAAAAAGAGAAAAATGAGCCAGGCATGGTGGCGCAGTCCTATAGTCCCAGCTACTCATGAGGCTAAGGCAAGATTTCTCAAGCCCAAGAGTTTGAGGTTGCTATGAGCTATAATGGCATGACCCTCTCTACCCAAGGTGACAGAGTAACACTTTGTCTCAAAAAAAAAAAAAAAAATCCCAGTCACTCCACTGGTACTCTCTCAGTGCCTCAGTTCCTCCTGGGCAATGCGAGGCTGTTTACAATTGAATCTACTTCTTAGGTCTGTGGTGAGGATTAAATCAGTTAATATGCACAAATGCCAATAGAACATGCATGTGGCTCATAGGAAAGAACTGCTTTTACTAATTAACCAATGACTCAGCCCTAATGACACAGGTCGTGGAAATAAAGCCTAGAAGATGTCCTAGAGGCATGTTTTTCTCAGACCATTGGCCCAGTGGACCCTCTTCTGCTCTCAGATGCCATTCCATCAACACCTCACAAAGGGCCCATCCAATTTAACACCCTAAATAGTGCTACAGGTGAAGGTCTTTGCCATCCAAAATATATAAATGCTCTTCTTTTTTTTTTTGCAGTTTTTAGCTGGGGCTGGGTTTTGGGTTTTTTTGTTTGTTTTGTTTTTGTTTTTGTTTGAGACAGAGCCTCAAGCTATCTCCCTGGGTAGAGTGCCATGGCATCACAGCTCACAGCAACCTCCAACTCCTGGGCTCAAGCGAGTCTCCTGCCTCAGCCTCCCAAGTAGCTGGGACCACAGGCGCCCGCCACAATGCCTGGCTATTTTTTGGTGGCAGCCATCATTGTTGTTTTTGGTGAGCCCAGGCTGGTTTTGAACCCACCGCCTCAGGTGTATTTGGCTGGCTCCTTAGCCACTTGAGCCACAGGCGCCAAGCCATGGGGCTGGGTTTTGAACCTGCCACCTCCAGCATATGAGGCCAGCATCCAACTCCTTTGAGCCACAGGCATTGCCCAGTAAATGCTCTTCTTTCTGGTGAGCTCTTGTTCTACCCAAGATCCCAGATGGAAGGCAGAAAGGAAGCCCCCTCCAGATCTCAGCACATTTGATTTCCTGACCAGTCCAAAACTCTGAGCCACTTTCTTCCTTGGTAGAGGGCAGGTCTGGGTTTCTCAGGTTGATACTTTCATGAGGTGCATGCAGACCCCTTCTCCCTGATGGCCATGCTCACTCCCTAAGTGAGCACATCCAGCCTGATAGCATAAGCAGCCACCTGCTGTTCTTTGACTGCCCCTGAGTTTACATATCTCATCCCCAGCCTCTCCTACAAAGTCCAGGCTCAAATATCCAGTGGCCCATTCAACACTCCCACTTGGGTGAATAAGCACATTAACTTGAGCCAGATGTCTGGACTACTGACAAATGTGGGGCTCATCAGCCAATAGAGAATATTTTAAACATGCATCCAGATGGGCCATGGTGGCTCATGCCTGTCTGTGATCCTAGCACTCCGGGAGGCTGACGTGGGAGGGTCACTTGCACTCAGGAGTTCAAGACTAGCCTGAGCAAGAGGGAGACCCTATCTCTACTAAAAACAGAAAAATTAGCTGAGTATGGTGCCAGGTACCTATAGTTCCAGCTACTGAGGAGGCCGAGGCAGGATTGCTTGAACCCAGGAATTAGAAGTTTGAGGTTGCTGTGAGCTAGGCTGATGCTACAGCACTCTACCCAGTGTGACAGAATGAGACTTTGTCTCAAAAAAAAAAAAAAAAAAAGCAAATGCACCTAGATGAGTTCTGATAGTCAGGCTCTTGGTCTTCCCAGTGTCAGTAAAGGGCATACCCATCGTGCCTAGTGCTCAGGGCAAAACCCTGGCATAATCCTTGACTCCTCTGTTTCTCTCACACACTGCACCTAGTACACCAGCAAACCCTGTGCCTCCACCTTTGAGATGCATTTGACCCTTGAACATAGGTTTGAACTGCTCAGGTCTACTTATGTGCAGATCATTTTCAACCAAATTTGGATCGAAAATACAGTATTCCCAGGATGCTAAACCCACTTATATAGAGGGCCAACTTTTGTATATGGAGGTTCCAAGGGGCTGACTGTGGGACTTGAGTATGTGCAGATTTTGGTACACTCATCAGTCCCACAGACACCAAGGGGCAACTATATATGCAGAATCCAGCCCTTTTCCCACCTCCACCATTAACACACTTCTCCTAACCACTGAGGTCTCTCACCTGGACGATTGCAGTAGCCCCTAACCTCTGGTTTCTGCCCTTGTTCTGACTCTATTCTCTACTCAGAGCCAGAGTGATCCTGTTAAGAGCAGAGCCCATTATGCTTTTGTCCAGAACCTGCCAGCTGGTCCCATCTCTGGCAGAGTAAAAAGCAGGTCCTGTATGATCTGCCTGTGTCTACTCACAGGTCCCACCACTGCCCCTCTACTAAGTCTGACCCAGCCACACTGTCCCTTCAGCACACCCATCAGTCCCACTGCAGGGCCTTTGCACTTGCCCTTTCTTCTTCCTGAAATGCTCTCTCCCAAGAACCCACATAAGTCGCTGTCACTACCTTCAAGTTTCTGCTTAAATGACACCTATCAAAGACACACTCCCTGCCCAGACTCCCTGAGAGGCACCGCCTAGCTTACTCTCAACACTTCACACATGAGCTTGTTTATTGCCTGCCATCCGCCCCCACCCTCCTACACCAGCCCGATTTCACTTTCCCTGTAGTCATTTCCATCAGCACGAATGTGCCATTGTTTCTCTTTGACCACCACTTCCCCTTGTCAACACTGCTCCATTTCTCTGCTTTGCCCCAAAGCATCCTGAAAGAGATTTTAATGGGCAAGGTCAATTCCACCCCTCACCCCTGCTGTTGTCTCCTTTTTTTTTTAGCCAGGACTGGGTTTGAATCCACCACCTCCGGCATAAGGGGCCAGCGCCCTACTCCTTTGAGCCACGGGTACCTCCCCCTGCTGTTGTCTCTTGAACCTGCTGCAGTCAGGTTGTCCCCCAGTGCCCACTGAGCTCCTGTCACCGTCCCAGGTCAACAACAAGCTTCTTGCCGATTGACTTCCGGGAGAGGGTGCAGGGCAGCCTTTTCTTTGTCCACACCCACTCTCCTGGTAGACTCACCCTGTG